TTCTGTTGGGATCACTCGGTGTTAGTACCAGTTCACCAGCACCTGATAACAACACCATATATTCTGGGAGAACACAGTCTCTCTCACAGATAACAACTAAACATCTCCTCACACCTAAGACAGGGTGGACTCTCCCATGGACAGGGTTCTGGGGAGACCCCAATTCCACCCCATTCCTGCTCTGTCTTCTCTCATCACCTCCAGACTCGGCACTAGGTCTCTCCTCTCAGCCCTTCTCCAGAGTCATCTCTTCTCTTGACAGATCTCTGCTCTTTATGAGTTCACAAGAACCGGGAAGAGAGGGGCTGGATGTAGATGATACAGCTCAATCATCTTTATTCCAACCATTCAGATTCTTGTATGCCTCCTCAAGCACCCATGAAGCCCTTATCAGAACCAGCCAACCTTATCGGCTTTCATCAAGTCCGGAATCTCCTACAGCCCACGCACCAAGGTGGGGAGTGGGGCTATTCCCTTTGATTCTACAGAGCAGATGGGGGTCCCCAAGTTCACTCCTGACAGACAGTCTTCTCCCAGCCAGGCAGCCCCATCCCAGCCTCCCCCAGCCAGCAGGAGCCCTTGACGCCATCCAAACCCAGGGTATTTTTCTAACCCCACCCTCCAGCCACCTCTTGTGTTTCAAGAACAAATTCTTTCCCCAGCGTTTCTGAGTTCTAAATTAAGAGGAAAATAAAAAGAAATGGGGTTTGGGAGAGTCTCTTCTTCCACCTCAATAGTTGATGAAATCAACCAAGTTGTCAGTTATGTACCCAAACTCTGATTTAGAAGCAAATTCAGTGCTGGACTGGATTTTAATTTTGAGGACAAACCTAAACGCCTCTGAGGAATTTTGTGAAAATTCACCAAAGTGGCCAGAAGGTGAAATTGCTAAATTGTGGTTTCTGGCACTCAGAATTGAAAAAGCAGGAAATTCCCGGCATAACTAATCTCTCCTCCTGAAGCCTGCTGGGACAGGAGCCTTCAGCCCAGACACCCGCGGTCAGCCACTTACTGTGCTTACAACTTCACTGTGTATGTTCATACCTGTTCATCAACTCCATTCTAGGTGGGCATTCAGAGGAGAAGAGGGGATTAACTTTGCAGAGACACAAACCACTTGGCTCTATAAAGGGCCCAGGATGTCTTCTCCTCTCCAAACTCCAATCCAACATCTTCCCCACTTCCCCACCAAAACAAAACAAACCATTTGCCATGGAATCAATTCCTACCCATAGTGACACCGTGTGGGTCTGAGTAGGACTCTGCTCCATAGGTTTTCAATGGTTAATTTGTTGGAAGTAGATCACCAAGCCTTTCTTCTAAGGTATCTCAGCGTAGATTGGAACCACCAACCTCTTGGTTAGCAGCTGAGCACATTAACTGTTTGTACCACCCAGGGACTGTACCCCAATAGACTGATCTACCTGATGCTGAATCGCCTTTCAGGGGAAAGGTATAAATGTGTGTGGTCGAGTTTATTACCGTTCACCAAACACCGTTCACCAAATATTTTTCCATCCTTTAGAACAATGATACATTCACCTCCTGCAGAACTCAGGAGTTTCCCAGGGGTTTCCTTTAGCCCACGAAATATGATGACCAGGAATGATTTACACAGAAGCAGCTAGATGAGCCTCACTCAGGGCTAGGATTCTCAACTTCCACACAAGAAACCCATGTTTGATTCCCCGTCAAGGCACCTCATGGGCAGCCACCCCCGTCTGTCTGGTGTGTTGCTAGGGCTGAGCAGGTGTCAACAGAGCTTCCAGACGAGGAAGAAAGACCTGGGAATGTGCTTCTTAAAATCAGCCGATAAGGACCCTGTGAATTACACTGTCAGTGAAGGGAATGGTGAAGGATCAGCCACCATTTTGTCCCCTGTGTATAGGGTCACCGTGGATCAGGGACTGTCTCAATGGTAGCAAACAAACCAATAATAAGGTAAATAAAAGGCCTACAAGCAAAAGTGGCAGAACTAGCTATTTTTAATTGAGGCATACAAAGGAGTCCTGATGTGGCGCTGTGGGCTAATGCGTCAGACTGCAAAGTCGTTTGAACTGCAAGGTCGGCGGTTCAAGCTCACCAGCTGTTCCTTGGAAACCTTATACAGGGTCGCTATGGGTCAAACAGAATTGACTCGGCAGCACTTAACAACAACAACAACAAAAACCCCAGGCTGGATGAGACTGCCTTCACCTCGGGCCTCCCTGAGACCAAGCACCTGCCTTTGGAATGGAAGACACACAACCTTTGGGTGCACACAAAGAACAGCGTGGCATGTTAGGAGCCCTGGTGGTAGAGTGGTTACAGTGCTCCACTGTGAATCGAAGGTCAGCGGTTCTAATCTACCAGCTGCTCTGTGGGGGGAAATGATGTGGCCATTTGCTCCAGTAAAGATGACAGACAGCCTTAGAAACCGTAAAGGACAGCTCGACTCTGCCAGAGCCATTGCATCACTTCCAACTCACAGAGACCCTACCGCCCAGAGGAGAACCGCTCCTTAGGGTTTACGAGACTGAAGATCTTTACAGAAGCAAACTGCCTCATCTTTCTTTCTCTGACTGGCTGGTGGGTTTGACCAGCTGGCCTCGTGGTCAGCAGCCCAATGCCTAAGCCATAGAACCAGCAGCGCTCCTTCGGTTTGGGTTGTGTTGTTGTTGTTGTTAAGTGCTGTGGAGTCAGTTCTGACTCATAGTAACCTTGTATAGGGTTTCCGAGGAGCAAGCTGGTGGGATTGAATAGACGACCTTGTGGTTCACAGTCCAGTGCTGATGCACCACACCAGGCTTAGACGCCACATCAGGACTCCTTTGTATGCCTCAATTTAAAAAAAAAAAAAAACAGCACTGTGTGATAATGCACTGGTCAGTTTAAACCACAAGGTTGGCAGTTCAAATTCACCAATCGCTCCTCGGAAACCCTATACAGGGTGGCTATGAGTCGGAACCAACACGCCGTGAGCTTGGCCTCTGCTCTCCAGAATAGCAGCTCTAGGGTTCAGGACCGGGCCTCCCGTAGACACAGGAGCTGACTGACAGACTGCTGCGCTTTTCCTGTCCAGAGATGCCCCGCGGTGGGCACACAGTGGGCACACTGCTGGCTGCCCTGCAGGCCTGGGTGGCTTTTCTACCTTGAGGCTGGCACTTCATCATCACAGCTGTGATTCTGCTGTCTTCTGGATGAACTCATGATTACCTTAAAACTGACAGGTGCAGACCAGGTGGGAGCTGAAGGGGTTCTGGACACAGGGACCCTGGTGCGGAGCCAGGGGGAGGGCTGGAGACTACACACAAAGGCCCCAACAATTACAACCTCCTTCTTCTCTCCTCATGCCTCCTTCCAAACTAGAGACACACACGGTGCCTTGGGGCTCCGTCTCAGTCTCGTACTCATTCACTCATTCATCCATTCAAAATGCAGCTGACCACGGGACGGCCACACCCTCTCACCCTCGGATCTCCATCCTCCTAGGGCTGGGGACACTGACCTCCATGGACCCCGTCACTGGCTCCCATGCCCTGAGACTGCCAGACAGTTGGGCCAGTGGGAGACAGAGCAGATTAGAAAGTAGGAGAGGACAAAAGTCAGAGTATTCAATCCTTTGTCCCCTCCCTGTGGGTCACACCAAATGCAACCCCACTGCAAACCTGTAGGACAAAGTAGAATTGGCCCACAGGGTATCCAATCTGGGCCTCGAGTCCTTGGGCAGTAACATGAGCTAATGTGCTCAGCAGAGGTGTCTCAAAAGGAAGACCTGGTGACCCCTTGAAAACCCCACAGGGCAGTTTACTCCGACACACCTGGGGGCTCCTTGAGTTGGAATCAATTCAGCAGCAGCTGGTCACTTTGACTGTTAATGAGACCACTGGCTTTTATAGTCAGAGGATTTTTTTCTTTTTTTTTTTTTTGGACCAATTCTCATAACCAATAAAGGAGGAGTTGTGATTGAAACAGGAGACCTTGGGGATTCCCGTTCACCCTGGCACCACCTCCACAGGGTGGAAACCCACCAGGTTAAATAAGCTTTAGATGTCCTTCAACCTTTATGACTGTTCTAGTTAATTACCATCAAGTCTATGCTGACCCATGGCGACCTCAGAAGGAAATGCTGCCCGGTCCTACACTCCTTCATAGTCTCTGGCACGTTCGAGTCCCTGGTTGTGGTCACTGTGCCTGTCCACCTCGTGGATGACTCCCTCACTGCCATTGACCCCATGGATTAGCTCCAGAGACAGTGATGAAATGGTATCAGATACAACCAAGATTCGGTGGTAGTTCTTTTTTAAAATGGTCGTGGAAAACACCTCTGCTCTGTATTTGGCAGACTCAAAGAGGTTTGGGTCCAGGTCCAAGTACAGGGCAGAAAGTGGGGGGTGGGTCATGAAAGTTACCCTCAGAACTCTCGGTCCTTACCTACACACATGCTCACTCCCAGCAACTACACTACCTTGTTGCCTTAGACACTTCTGCCCCCTCACAGCCAGAGAATCTCAAATCTGTGGGCTTCACTATACCCAGGTCTAGCTCCAGGGCAAGGAAGGCCACTCCGGGCTCAATGGACATCTGCCAGACAAGTCTCCCCACCCCTGGGGCCCGCGCCCTGGCCTGGGTGCGGTCCATGTGGACGGCAGGGAGAGCAGCCAGCTCTTCCCGCGCTCTCCAACAAGTTCCGCGAGTCTGTTTGCTAAAGAAAAATTCCACTGGGAGTATCCAACACATGGAAGTCAGGCTCAGAAAGACGATTTCTCCACCCCACGGCCAAGGAGATCACATGGCCCTGAATCACTCCAGATGTGCTCCAAACAGAGCCCGTCTGTGGAAGCCCAGTCCCAATCCCAGGGAGAGTTGGGTTCAGAGAGGCACCGCTCCGGTCCCACCCAGGGGGCAGCCTCAGCCTCCACCCTCCAGAAGGGGGAAGGCAGACTAGAACGGCCTTCTGCCTGTGAGAGACCCTTGGGGTCCGACTGGATCTGAGGACCACCCTGCTCTCCTGGGGGAAGATGTCCTGGAAGCTGCTAGTGCTTCTGCTACTTTGCTACAACACGCAGGTGACTGTGCCCCACAGGTGGAGCCGAGGTGAGCTGTTTTTTGTGTTCTTGATGCTTAGGCTGCTGCTTTCTTGAATGAAGCCAGGGATTTGGAGGGGGCTGTGAGTAAGGGAAAGGTAGTGAGAAGTCCTGTGTCCACCTTTTATCTCAACTCTACCAAAGGCTTCCTTCTCCCTCCCCTAACTCCCAGTAACTGGAGATGAGAATATTCCTGGAAAAACTGAGGCAGATGAAGGGGCTTGGTCAACATCTGGAGAACCAGGGTGCATCCCTTTCTGACCTGCTTGGGCAAACTCATGTTGGCGCCAAAAATTGTGGCTGTCTTTCCCCTATTCCCTGGGGCTGTAGCCAGCCGACTAGCCAGCAAGAGGACAGGTGCTAAAATGAGGGTGTTGGGGAACCAGAAACTGGTTACCTAGGACCCAGTGCACCCAGATGCTGTATGGATGCTGTCTCCTGCCAGAAGTGGGCCACGGGGCCCCCAGGCAGGCCAGACCCTGTGAGCGGCAGAATCAGTGTACTGGCCTGAGGTGAGCCATCCAGCCCACCCCACTGAGTCTTTTCTCAGCCCCTGATCCCCTTCCCCAGGGATGGGGGTGCTCAGCTGAGGCAAAATCACTGTTCAGTGTCCCAGGTTGTCTCCATGAGGGGGACACAGAGAAATCCACTCAGGTTGATCCCTGTTAGGAAATGAGGGGCCAGTTGAGATGACCGCGCCATGCCCATGTGAGCGCCTGGCTTGCTGCCACCTGTAGTCAGTTCAGGCTTGGTTCCTGGAAAGGCTGTGGGGAGGAAGCGGTGTTTGTGGAGATTTGGCAGGGGAGGAAGGACAGGACCAGCAGCGTAGAGCGGAGGGTCCAAACCCAAGAAAGCAGGAACACCTGTCCTTAGCTGGGTGTTTACCTCTCACATTAAGACTGAGGTTACCAAAAACCAAACCAAACTCACTGTTACCGAGTCAGTTCTGACTTTTAGCAGAGTAGAGCTCCCCCATAGGGTTTCCAAGGCTGTTATCTTTATGTTAGCTCCAGAGACCGTGAGGAAATGGTATCAGATACAACCAAGATTCGGTAGCAGTTTTGTGTTGTTGTTGTTGTTTTTAATGTTTTATTGGTGATAATTTATATGGGAGAACATTAGCTTTACATTCGTCCTATCGTATATCGTTTCACTGCCATGATTACAATCCCCTGCATGCATCATCAACCAGCCAACCCTACAAGCCTGCCCCCCAGTCATCAGCACACAGCCCCTCTCCCTCTCTGGTTTAAAGCCCCCAGCCGCTCCATCTCTCCATGTCATTGTCTCTGCCTCCATCTCAGGCATCACTGCTTCTCTGGGTAGGGTCTGGCACTCCACTCTTCTCCCTTGATGATCTCAGGGACCTCCGCTCCTACACTGCAAAGTCAATCACTCCCCTCCTTTTGCTACAAACATCTACCTGTACATTTCCAACCCTCACAATTCATCTTGATAACAATTATTCACTATTGTATCACAAGAGACCCATTCTCATCTCCTTTCATCAGGCCCGCCTAGACAGATTGGATACTACTCAATGGAGATTCTCCCTTCCTCCACGCCCTCTGGATCTAGTTTCCCTCTTGAAAGCTCGTAAGCCAGTCACTTCTTGCCTATGGCAGTTCTTTTTAAATGGTCGTGGAAAATACCTCTGTATTTGGCAGACTCAAACAGGTCCAAGTACAGGGCAGAAAGTGGGGGGTGGGTCATGAAAGTCACCCTCAGAACTCTCGGTCCTTACCTACACACATGCTCACTCCCAGCAACTACACTACCTTGTTGCCTTCGACACTTCTGCCCCCTCACAGCCAGAGAATCTCAAATCTGGAGGGTCTGGGTGCTGGATTGTGAACTCCACTATTCCCAGGTCTAGTTTTACAGAATCATCTTTACAGAAGCAGACAGACCATCCAACAACTCTCCAGTGCTTATCCCACTGTGCCACCAGGACTGAGATCAGGGGTCTGCTGATCTTCTGAGATGAGCTATGAAATGGTTGTTGCCTACAGACAAACAGTTAACATAGCCTGTCCCGGTGGCACAGTGATTAAGCACTCGGCTACTAAGCTAAAGGTCAGCAGTTCGAATTCACCAGCTGCTCCACAGAAGAAAGATGAGGCTGTCTGTTTCCTTAAAGCTGAATGTCTTAGAAACCCTATGGGACAGTTCTCTATCCTTCAGGGGGTCTGTGAGTCAGAATCGACTTGATAGCAACAGGTGTGATTTTGTTTTATTTGGGGTTTTTGTTTGTTTTGTTCTTTTATAGGCATACAATATTACACACACACACCTCACTACTTACAATGTGCACAAATTTTGGGGGCAGCTCTTGAAAGCAGAAAGCCAGGAGGCTGTGGAGTTTTGTCCTACCACTTAAGCCGTGTGATGCGGGACACTGTTCAAAGATAATACCCCTTCTTCAAAAGCACAGGATCTTAGAATTTTGCAGGAGATGTTCTCTGGGTAGGGTCCCAGCCAGGAGAGCCTGCCAGCCCCCATCAGGAGCTTATGAACCTGCAGGGATAAAGCGTTAACTCTCGAAAGATTTAAGTTCTGCCTTTTATTGGCTGTGTGACCGCTGGTGAGTTCTTAGTCTCTCTGAGCTGTAGTTCACTAACAGGAAATAGTAACAGGAACCAGACTTAACCTCACCAAAGAATCATATCAACGTTGGTAGCACAAACAGCTAAGTACTCAACTATTAACTGAAAGATTGTCAGTTCAAACCCACCCAGAAATGCCTTAGCAGAAAAGGCTGGTGATCCGATCTGCTTCTAAAAGGTTACAGCCATGACAATTCTACAGAAGAGCAGTTCTGTTCTGAAACATGTAGGGTTTCATCAGAATCCATTGGACAGCAGCTGGTTGGTTGGATTCTTGTTGTTACGTGCCGTGGAGTCAGTTCCGACACATAGCGACCCTGTACAGGGTTTCCAAGGCTGTAAATCTTTACAGGAGCAGAAAGCCTCATCTTTCTCCTGCAGAACAGCCAGTAGTTTCGAACTGCTGACGTTGTGGTTCGCAGCCCGACTTGTAACCACTATACTGCCAGAGCTCCTTGGTTAGTTAGGTTACCAGTTTCCAAATGTCTTGAGTCAGTTCTGGTCCCTGGGGATGCTGTGGCTGTCAGAGTAGACCTGTGCTCCGTAGGGTTCTCAGTGGCTGCTTTTTCTGAAGCAGATCACCAGGCATTTCTTCTGAGGTGCTTTTGGATAGACTCGAACCACCAAACCTAGCTGTCAAGTGTGTGTTTGTACCACCCACCTCAGCTGTTACCTGACATCTAAAGGTGAAGAAAAGAACATTCTTCATGAAAGTCTGAGGTTCTCCACAGACTCACTGGGAAGGTGGCCCATAGAATGTTCTCACTGAGATGCCCAGTGGCATGCCAGGCAGAGCCGCTAGGAGGGGCTGATGTTGGGGGCCAGGTGGGGTTCCTCAAAGCCCACAGTCAACAAATGACACGGGTCCCTCCACCCACCATCAAAAGTCTCCCAAGCAGTTGATTTTTTTCTTTTCTTTCTTCATTTATAACATTGTTTGCTAGCTGTAAAAAGAATACATAGTTTTTGTCATTCGCTTCTTACTCAATAGACATCACAGGCAAATTAATAACAGTTTTCCAAATATATGTTTTATATCCCAGCCCCAACCCCCAACCTGCTCCCCACTTCCTCAGACACAAGAATTCCTTTAGGAAACAATTTGAGAGTATTCTCCTTCCTCCACCTGCTCTCACCCCCTCACTGCCACCCCACCTCGTCAGGTAGAAATGTGGCAGTAACCTGAAGGGGATACCTGCTGTGAGGACTTCCTTACCACATGGTCCTCCCATTTCCCTGAGACATGCTCTCTAGGGTCCTGCTCTGGAAGGTCCTGCTCCCAGCCAGGTGAGCCTGCCAGCCCCCATCAGGAGCAAGTGACTGACCTGTGGTTAGAGGCCAGCTCAGGCCAGCCAGACTGCCACACACACACTCACACACAGACAGAGACACACAGAGAGAGACAGAGACATATACACAGAGAGAGACATACACAGAGAGAGAGAGAGAGACACACACACACAAAGACACACACACACAGACACAGAGAGAGACACAGAGAGAGAGACACACACTCACACAGAGAGAGAGAGAGATACAGAGAGAGACACACACACTACACACAGTCAGAGACACACACACACTCACATACACACAGAGACACACAGAGAGAGACACACACACTCACACACAGACAGAGACACACACTCACACACACACAGACACAGAGAGAGATACAGAGACATACACACAGAGAGAGATACACACACTACACACAGTCAGAGACACACACTTACACATACACAGAGACACACACTCACACACACAGAGACTCACACAGAGAGACAAAGCTATACACAGAGAGAGACACACACACACTCACACAGAGACAGAGAAACACAGCCACACACACACAGAGACACAGAAAGAGACACAGAGAGACACACACAGAGAGACATACACAGAGACACATACACACTCACACACAGTCAGAGACACACACAGAGAGAGACACACTTGGAGACAGAGACACAAACTCACACACCCACTCAGAGACATACACAGACAGACAGACAGAGACCCACACTCACACACACACACAGAGACACACACTCAGAGATAGAGACACTCACACAGAGAGAGAGGCACACACACACAGAGACAGAGATTCAAACATACACACAGAGACACACACTCACAAAGACAGAGCTACTCACACACAGAGAGAGACACCTTCACACAGAGACAGAGACACAGTCACACACAGATATACACACACACTCACACAGACACACCCAGAGACACACCCAGAGAAATAGAGACACACTCACACACAGAGAGACAGACAGGCACACACTCACACACAGAGACAGAGACATACACTCATATACAGAGACACACAGACAGAAACAATCCCACAGATTCACCACATACACATAGACATACACACTCACACACAGACTCA